TCTATTCGCCTTTTTTTTTTCTCTCCATAATTCTTTCAAAAATTTCTCATTACATGTCCTGCAAGCGAGATAAAAGGAATATGTAAAACGGTACAGTTGAATTTATACGTGGTTTCTAGACAAGTGAACTAATTTGATCCTGAAAATAATAAAATAAGTAAAGAGTTAAGCAATACTTAGCCTTAAAACGTATATGAAACAGCAGATATGACAATTCTAGGAACAAGGTTTCCGGGCACAATAATGATGAAATCAGAAAGCAAGAAAGTAAGATTGTATTAAGCTTTTTATAGAATGTAGTGTAAAGTTGCCAGAAAATTCGTATCCTTTACAATGATAACTAAGCTCACTATTTATAGTTGTATCTAGGGAAGGAGGTCCTCTGATCATGCCCTCCTTTAATGTCAATTATGAGGGGCATTGATGAAGATGTAACGGCTGACATAAATGCCAAATTTCCTGTAACGGGCCATTGCTCTTAATGCTGCAGAATATTCCTTATTAAATGCTACTGGGCACAAGGCATTTAATACCTTTCTATGAATGTTATCCCCTCCGATGACAAGCGTAATACCTATGTTCGGTCTTCGGCCATCTTCGTCATGGGTTCCACGTGTCCTTCCTTTAGATGACCACGCGTCATATCATATTTTACCCTATACAGATAGTCCCCCTGCTTTCCAGTGACAACTTTGTGTTACCTGAAAGTTGGTAGAAACACTCTTTCGGCGGAAATTTCTATAATTTCCTTTATAGGCTTCTGACGGTAGATTAGACGCATGTCTCTTCGCATTTAATGTCCCGAACACGTGTCATCCCATGATTCAGCATAACTTTTACCGATTAACGAGGTAATCGTGGCCATGAATTTAGTCGCCACACTTATACGCATCATCTTTTTCCCTTACACTTCATAATTTTCCAAGCTTTTGATTTGCACCTTTGTTCTTCATCTTTTCTTTAACTCTCTTAAAAAAACCTTCTCCTCCTTTCACATAATGGCTTCTTCCTCAAAGCATACCAATTCTTCAAAGAACAAGAAAAAGGTCGAGTATTCTGTTCCTTCAACAATAGGCTCCATTATCCCTAGAAGTCTTATTACCACAAAAGACTTTGAGAAAAAATTTCCTATTGCTAACTCTCGTACATGGGCCGTCAGTAGATACCCTTCTTCCATTCGTCCTTCCAGCATTCCTTTTGTGAAGGAAGACTGTCGCCACCCTGAGTTGGATATTATCTCTCTTGATCTATCGGAGCGAGTGACCCTACCCAAAGAGGGTTTTACATATTTTTACACGTATTCCTTTTCTTTGGGTGCGTTTTCTTTGAGCAGAGAGCTTGATTCCGCGATTACGGAATTTTGCCTCCGTTACCAAGTGTATTTGGCACGAGTAAGTCCTTCTGTGTGGAGGACGGTCGCCTGCCTTCGGTGTTTGTGCCAAGAGACTGGAGAAGAGCTAACCTTAGCTCATATAATGAATCTCCACTCTCCCAAGATTTTCCGTGGGAAAATGATAAACCTCTACAAACGTGGCCACCATGCTTTACTGACCAGTATGGATGATGACAGCGACCGTGGGTGGATGGAACGGTTCGCTGCAGTTGCCACCAACGACATCATTCCAACAATGGCACCATCCTTTCCGGTCGCTTGGAACTGCACTCGTAAGACCTTTGTTTGATATTTTTACTAAATATCCTGCTATAGTCATATTGATCTTTTATCCTTTGCATATTTCAGCAACTCGATGGATCCAACCGGTGGTTGAAGGTTTGGATCGGTGGGTTCAGAAAAGTTTGGATGTTATAAAGCCCGAAACTCGTTTGTGGAAAGAACTGGCCCCCAAATATGGGTGGAAGGCAAAAAATTATGGTAATTCAAACTCTCCTTATTTCAATTTTTCATGTGAAAAACTTGACTAATCTCTTCTATCTTTTCCTTGAAATCAGGTCTACCTACAGGCTCAGCTGTTGTCCCCAAGGAGGACGTGTTGGCTGATCCCGCTGATGCGGTGAGGCTGCTTCAGGAGGCGCTTACTCGAGCAGGTGTCTCCGGACCTGCTTCGAGCACATGTGTTTCATTACAGAGTCCCCGGCCAGAGAACAAGCAACCAAAGAGAAGGCTTCCTCCGCGGTTGGGGAAAAAAATAAGAGGGCAAAGGCCAGTGCCCCCGAGTCATCTCCAGAAGTTGTGATCACCAGTCCTCATCCCAGGGCCGATCATAGACACCGTGATGATCGACGATGATGGGGAAGCTAGTGATGATGGGGCTTCTCTACACAGAAGGCATAATTCATCATCAACTCAACAGAATGCTCAACCAGTTGGGTTAATTACACCAACTGAGGATGATACCTCGGCATTTTGGGGGGAATTTGATTTAGTGGAAAATGTTAATTCCAGTTTTCAGGCCCCAATTACTGTGTCTGGTATCGCAGGGCTAAGTGTCGAGTCCCTTCCATCTTTGGTTGGCGAGCATCCAACAACCAACACTGCATTTGATGCAGCTGCTTCTTATTCTTCAACTCCATCAGCTTCATTTCCATCTTCACCACCACCAGCAATTCTACATCATTTCCATCTTCATTCACTCTTCCAACAGCAATTGCTATATTATCTCCACCGGCCACATCTGATCAGGAAGGAGATGTTCCTCCTCCCCATTCCCCAGTTCATGGGAATTTTGGGGCAGAATTATGTTGCTCCTTCTGAAGATCCCCATCGGAGGAGGAATGTTATCCTTTCGGTCTCTACCGGGTGCAACCTGCTTTCCCGGCCGGTGGAGCTTGCTAATTATCTGAAGCCTTTGGCTTCAAAGAAAGATTGGGAAAAGGTCAGAGAACTCTCGGGAGAGTGCTTGTTGAATAACGCCATGCACAATGCCGCAGCGGTACACTCCTTTCTTCCTTTGTTATTTCTTCTATTTTTATATGAACGTACTCTGAGTTTCATCTTTCTTGTTTTGTAGGCCAATTTTCTTGCTTCTAAGGGCCTTCAGAGGTTGATTCGCGATAAGGAAGAACTTACTTTCACTCGGGATCAACTTTTGGCAGAGCGGGAGCAAAGTATCGCTTGCCTCTAGGAATTAGAAGCCAAAGCTGCTGAGGCTGTTTCATTGGAGGCTCGTTTGCAGCAAAGCGAGCACGAGGTGATAACCCTTAGCCAAGAAATTGGCCCGCTGAGGGTTAGATTTGACGAAGCCAAGGCCAAATAGGCTGAAGTCCATGACGCCATTCTTGCTGCAACCGAGCACAAGGCTACCACTGCTGAAAAAGTGACTGACTTAGACACAATCTTGAACTCCAAAATCGAAGAGCTTACTGCTGCGGGGGCAAAACATGCCCAGTTGGAAGAGAAGTACAAGAAAATTATCGAGCATAATAGGCTCTATAGTTCAACTTTCCGCGACCTTGATATTAGCCTTAGATCTGTTAGGTCTGCCCGGAAAAGCCTTTCTGCCGAGATAGCTCAACTCAAAGAAGAACTTAAGCGCCGAGTGGCTTCCCTCATTGTTGAGAAAACTTATGCTATGTATAGCATGAGGAGAAAGATCTTGGAGGAGGCCAAAGCTGGTATCATTGATTTTGATGTCGAAATTGCTAAGGCCCAAAAGCTTGAGTTGGCTGCTAAAAATGGACTCCCGACGCAGTCTGATACTCCTGGTTCTTCTAGTTTCGATTTTAACTTTTCGGGAACTGAAGAGGAATCGGAAGGTGACGATGCTAAAGACCAAACTGGGGAAAATGTCAAGCCATCAGTGGATCCACCTACTTCTCCCGGGGGCGCGGACACTTCTCTTCCTCCTGGTTCCGGAGATTCTGTAGTTTAGATTTTCTTTTCTTTTTCCCATTCTTGTAGTTTTTGACGTTTTGGCACGTTCTTGTAAATAAAGACATATTTTTGCTCAAGTATTATTTGAGTCTTATTTTCATTTGAATATCTATGCAAGTTTTTAACCTTTGCATTTGCTTAAGAATTCCGCGCACGTTTTTCTATTCGCGTTTTGCTATGTGTAGTCTCGAATTATTTTTCCTCGAAGCACTTTGGTTCCGATTCCGAGTATTATCCCTTTTACGTGAGGGTTTCTGTAAGTATTTGCGCAAGTTTACTATTTGCGTCCTTTCGTGTACGTCTTCGGGTGCATTTTCCCCGAAGCCATTTTGATTCCGGGCATAAATTCTTCTGAAACCAACCCTTTAACGTGAGGGTTTTCATAAGAGAGGGCCCTCTTATGTTTGCGGTGCTCTTGAAAAGGACGTCTCATGTTCATTACGGCACTAACATTTGAAGTACTTGATTAACTCTTAAATGACAAAGTTAGTTCATCGTTCAGACAAGAAATAAGGTAAAAACAAAAGGATTTCATTTCATATAATTCCTTTTATTTTCAAAAGTACACAAGAATTTATTATGCTAAAAAGAAATTGCCATTATTTGTAGCTATCTTGTACAACTTATTTCTATGGGGCTAGGTGCGCAGTCCGCGGTCCTAATGATGCATTTTGTTTCCGAATTTTTGTTCCCGGTCGACGTGGCAGTCAGTGTTGCCAAATCCTCATATCATCCCCCCTGGTGTTTGAATGTGAAGAATGCGAATTGGAACACTGGAAGTCTTGTGCCTTCAAAGGTTCCACCAATGAATTGCTAGATAATCCTTAACTCACCAACACACCTTACTTCCGCTTAGGAATCCATCCTATTAAGCAATAGACTATTTAACATTACCCTAGTGGTTTGTGCTCGTGAACGGTCGGGTAACCTTTATCCGCTAGCAAACTTAACTTCCTAGTGGGAATTTGCTATCGAGCCAAAGATTATCTAACCATCCCCGAGTGGAAGCTTGTTTGTTTGCCCTGCAATTAAAGGTCTTATTGCTGCTATCTTCGTAGTATTCTTTATATGCTACCTCGTTTAAAACCTTGCCAAAAAAATCCAATTGGGACAAAAACTGAACGGAAAAAAAGAGTGCAGCACATACTTTCGGATTGGATATTGTTCATCAGCAATAATATCTTTTGAGGTGCGCCACGTTCCAATTTCTGAGCAACTTGTCTCCATTTTGGTTCTCCAACTCGTATGAACCTTTCTCGGTGACAGCTGAAATCCGGTAAGGACCTTCCAGCATTGGGCTCCTGGGTATTTTGAGTTACTTTCCTTAGAACCAAATCTCCTATTTTAAAATAACGGAGGTTGGTTCTTCGATTATAATACCGCTTCATTCTCTGGTTTTGAGTTGCCATTCTTACATGTGCCAAGTCCCTTGTTTCCTCAAGCAGCTCCAAGTTGATTAATATTGCTTCGTTGTTTGATTCCTCATCTGCCTGGAAATACCTTAAGGTAGGTTCACCTACTTCTACCGGGATTAGAGGTTCTGCACCATACACCAGGGAAAAAGGAGTTTCTCCTTTGCTTGACTTGGCCGTTGTTCGGTAGGCCCATAGAACTCCGGGTAATTCTTCGGGCCAATTGCCTTTTGCTGCTTCCACTTTTTTTTGAGGTTTTGAATAATCACCTTGTTCTTTGATTCCGCTTGACCGTTTGCACTTGGATGATAGGGTGAAGATGTGATCCTCTTTATTTTCAAATCTTCGAGGAACTTTGTAACTTTTGCACCGATAAACTGTGGCCCATTTTTGCACGCAATCTCTTTTGGTATTCCGAACCTGTAGATTATATTTTTCCCCAAGAAATCGACCACTTCTCGTTCCTAAATATTTTGATAAGGACATGCTTCTACCCAATTAGAAAAATAGTCAATCAAAATTAAATGAAATCTTACCTTTCTGGGAGCCGATGGCAGCGGTCCGACGATGTCCATTCCCCATTTCATGAACGACCACGGGGATAGAATCGAATATAAAGGTTCTAACGGTTGATGCACTAGCGGTGCGTAGTGTTGGAACTTATCACATTTTCGTACGAAAGCTTTGGCGTCCTGTTCCATGCGGGGGCAGTAATATCCTGCCCGCACGAACTTCAGCACCAAGGAATCTGCGCCCGAGTGGTTGCCACATATTCCTTCGTGGACCTCTTTCATGACATAGTTAGCTTCGGATGTCCCTAAGACGCGGCAATGGTCCTTGGAAAGATTTTCTATATAATTATCCTTTCTTGAAGCTGTATTGCGCAATGCCCAGGATGCTTTAGGGTCTTCAGGAAACTTCTTGTGCTCGAGATAGTCGATTATTTCATTTCTCCAGTCCCAGACCAAACCAGTCGAATTTACCTCATAGTAACCATCTGTATCCAGGACTGAGTTCATTAGCTGCACTACCGTCACTGACTCCGGTTCCTTTATTTCTGTCGATGAGCCCAAGTTTGCCAATGCATCTACTTCTGTGTTATCCTCCCTCGGGATATGAGTAATTGACCATTCCCAGAATCGTGCCAACAGAGCCTGGACCTTTTTCACGTATTGTTGCATATGTTCTTCTTTGGTGTCAAAGATCCCGTAGACCTGATTTACCACCAGCTGTAAGTCACATTTGATTTCGATGACTTCAGAGTCAAGTCCCCGGGCTAATTCGAGCCCTGCAATCAAAGCTTCATACTCTGCTTCATTGTTAGTTAAATGGACCGTTCTGATGGCTTGCCTTAGGGTTTCCGCCGAAGGCGTGATTAAGACTATTCTGAGCCTAGACCCTTTCACGTTGGAAGTTGCGTTCGTGTATAAGGTCCAAACCCCCGATATCGACTCTGACACCATTACTACCTCCTTGGTTGCCAGAGGCAGTAGTCCCGGACTGAAATCGGCCACGAAGTCAGCCAAGACTTGCGACTTAATTGCAGTCCTTTGGTTTATATTCTATGTCGAACTCACTCATTTCTATGGCCCATTCGGCCAATCTACCTGAGAGCTCGGGTTTATGGAGGATGTTTTGCAAAGGGAAAGTAGTCACCACAGCTATCGGGTGGCATTAGAAGTAAGGCCTCAACTTCCGAGCGGCAACTATGAGAGCTAAGGCCAGTTTTTCCAAATGCGGGTAGCGAGTTTCTACTCCCATTAAAATTTTGCTAACATAATAAATGTGAGGTTGCGTACCTTCATCCTCTCGGATCAAACCTGCACTTACCGCAACTTCCGAGACCATGAGGTAGACTAGCAACGTTTCACCTTCTTTTGGTTTTGAAAGCAATGGAAGGCTTGATAAGTACTTCTTTAAATCCCTCAATGCCTGTTGGCACTCCGGTGTCCATTCGAAATTATTTTCTTTTTGAGCGAAGAAGCGATGACATTTTTGTGACGATCGGGAAATGAACCTACTTAAAGCTGCCAATCTTCCAGTGAGCCTTTGGACTTCTTTTACGTTTGACAGATGATCCGGGATGTCTTCTATGGCCTTAATTTTATCGGGGTTTACCTCAATTCCCCTTTGTGAGACCAGAAATCCCAGAAACTTACCAAAACTTACCCCGAATGCGCACACTTGGGATTAAGTTTCATATTATGCTTCCTCAGGATGTCGAAAGTTTCTTGCATATGTTTAAGGTGGTGACCTGCATTTAAAGACTTAACGAGCATATCGTCTATATAAACTTCCACAGTCTTTCCTATATGATTTCAAACATCCTGTTCACGAGTCGTTGATAAGTGGCTCCGGTATTTTTCAACCCGAATGGCATCACATTGTAACAATTTGTGCCGAAATTCGTTATAAATGAAGTCTTTTCCTGATCTTCCGGGTTCATCTTGATTTGGTTGTACCCGGAGTAAGCATCGAGGAAACTCATTAACTCGTGTCCGGCCATGGCATCAATCATTTGACCGATATTTGCCAGTGGGAATGAGTCTTTCGGGCACGCCTTATTGAGATCCTTATAATCTACACACATGCGAAATTTATTGTTCTTCTTAGGAACTAATACTACATTAGCTAGCCAGTCCGGATACTTTACCTCTCAGATCTAACCTGTTACACCCCATGTTTTCGTACGCAAAAGTAAGTCGTAAGTCACTTATTGTAAGCTTAGAAATGAGATCATCCTTGAAATTACATAAAGTAAGTTAATCATGTTACCTTGTGGGTTACAAATCTTTAAGATCATTAATAACAAGTACCAAGAGGGTTGAAAGGCTTAGAAGTAAAAAAAAATTAACGAAAAATAAGTTCCGCCGAAAGTCGATAAGTTTGGATTGTTTTAACATGCACTTTGGGGTGAGACTAGGGTTAATAACGTGATAAGGAGTTTATTTTATGAGTTATTATAGGATTATGATAGCCGTGTGTTACATTTTGAAGTCAAGCGAGTTGTGGAACGAAAGTTGGCAAATGTCATCACAAGTTACATTCATAAATGTGCTGAAAATTAGGTCAAATATAGCGGAGCTTTTCTCCCAATATACTTGGAATTACGGGATGATCCACGTATCAAATTGAAGATATACGAGTCTAGCTTCTAACTCATTAAAACTTTCATCAATACAACATTAGAGTAGAGAGATATTTGCTGTTTTGCAAGACTCCACAGACTGCATATGTGACAAGTAGGTGGATTGCTGAAGCTATTTTAGCATTACATTTCATTTATTATATGAGGTCTTTTTGGAACATATTATATACCAAATTGAAGGTCTTGTAATGTAGTTTCTAACACTCTTAACTGTTTGTTCATATGACATCCGAATAAAAAGATATAAGCGTCTGAAGAAGAGCCAATAATAGGGTGCCAAGCTAGCACCTCTTTGACTTTTCAAAAATGGATATATATAGGCCTTATGTCGTCTCTTTCTTCACTTATCCACATACCACGACCAGAATAAGACACCTAAATCATGCTCAAGCTCTCCACGAGGGTTTTCAAGAATATTAACATCCCGAGTACGAAATCAAGAAGCGATAATACTAGAACGATCCCAACAACGTAAGTATCGCTATATCGCCTCTCTTTTTCTTTGTAGTTTTAGTTTTGGAAGGTACTTAATAGTTAATAAAGAGTCTAATTTCTGTATTTAAGCTTTAAATATCAAGTAAGGTTGATAAATTTAATTTCTAATAGTTAGAACTCACGGGACGATGATCGAAAGTCGTGAGTTCGAGTTATTCGACTTGTAGTGGACTGTTTTGTGGGCTGTTTCGTGTTGCTTTTGGTCTGTCTATTTTGCTTTTTTTTAATAGAGTTTTGGAAGAGAAATGGTGTGTATAAACACCACTTAATGGCGAAATGGTGGATTAATCGTTCTTTGTAACATTTTCGGTGTGTTTGACACTACTATAGTTGTCGTTTTGGGTATGAAGTGATTGGAGTGTGTTGGGATGTTGTAAGATAAATATAATATGGATTTCGACTTGCAACCACTGTAGGTGGTAATTATATTGTGTTCTTTCATTTACTTAGGATTATCTTGACATTGATTAAGTTAAATGGATGGACTAAACATGAACTAGTGAATAAAGTTGCTAATTGAGGATAATTGGAGTTGCGGATTATTTTTTTTGTTATAAGCATATGGTATAAGGCTGGAATCATTGATGAATGAATTCATTATCATGTTAATGATACTATTGAGTTAAAGCAAGAAGTCTATAAAGGGTGATATGGGGTGTACGAATTCCGATTGGAGCTTGCCGCTCGTCGTGAAGTAGTTGTGACTTGTTGTTTTATGGTGTCTTGTTATTGATAATTTTTTATTGCTGGATTTCTCTGGTCATTGTTGTTGGTATATGGTATTAGAGGAGGATCTTGTTACGGGGGAGATGCTGCCCAAATTTACTTAAACGAGCTACTAGTTTAAATTGCGGACTTATCCTTTACTCAACACTAATTTTGAATCTCCTTATGCAATGGTAGATTGAATTGAGTTGTTTGAAGAATTTCTTGGAAGGTACTAAGGACTCAATGAAGTTAAGGTATGTTAAGGCTAAACCTTTCCTTCATTTTGTCATGATCCAGTAACTACATGTGTTTGATAATGAGACATAAAGAGAAGTTCATATTCCTGAATTTATGTACATTTTCCTAGTCTCGTAAATTACAACATTCTCCCTTATCGGGACTTCATATTCAGTTTACTTTTGTCTTCTTTCAGCTAAGAGAGCAGAGAGTCTATATATATACAGTATTACAGTATTTTCACCACCATCGAGCTATAATCAATGGGCAGGCCCCTATTGGGCAACCTCTGATCAGATGGTGAGTTATATACCGAGCCTACTGTGGCCGAGCGCCTATGAGTAAGCCCAGAATAGCCAAGATACAGAGCCTAGTATGGCCGAGCGCCTATGAGAGAGCCTACTAAGGCAGAGCAGTTACACATACCAAGCCTTATAAGGCCGGACATCTTTTTTACTTACTATATTGAGAGAGTTGAGTCAGTATCAGCAGGTAAGCATATCTTCAAATTATCTTTGACTCCCAGTTACTTTCAGTTATTATATTATCAGTTCAGTTTCAGCTTTCAGTTATTCTGTTTCCTTACATACTCGGTACATTATTTTGTAGTGACGTCCTTTTTGCCGGGGACGCTGCATTTCATGCCTGCAAGTCCTCATTGACAGTTGGGCAGACCCTCCCAGCAGACAGAGTCAAACATCAACTTGGTTGGTAAGCACCACTTCCTTGGAGTTTCCAGGTCTAGTTGGAGTCCATTTTATATATATAGGTTTGATGGGTAGGTCGAGGTCTGTCCCGACCATGATGCAGTTCAATTATCTCTAGAGGCTTGTAGACGAGTCCTGTATATTTTGTATATCAGTAGATGTTCATGGCGGCTTTTTCGGCCTGCACAGTTATATACATCAACTGTTGGGTATGTTTACCCCACAAATGAGAGAGGCGTTATTTTCAGACGATTCAAAATATGGCCTCATCGGCCTAAGTTGAGGGTTACCCTTCCGGAATTTAAAATTAAAGAGTGGTATGCTCGGGTCGAGTATAGCCCCGGGTGCCGGCCACACCTCTTTAGGTTTGGGGCGTGACAGAACCGATATTAAGTAGACGGGTTACCTCTTCTTTGACGAATTTGTTCCTGACTTCGCTAATAGGGCGCTTCTTTTGTCTTACCGGAGGTATGTTGGGATCCAAGCTTAACTTGTGAACGGATACCTCCGTCGGGGTACCCGTCATATCTTCGTGCAACTATGCAAAACAATCGACATTGAATTTAAGAAATTTGATAAAAGCAAACCTGAGTTCCGGGTGCAATCCCGTCCCCAAGTGGAATTTCCTTTCTAGGAATTCCTCGAACAATGAAACTTGCTCCAATTCTTCTGCCGTGGACTTCGTTACATCCGTCTCTTCTGGAACTTTGAAATATCTCGGTACCTGATAATGTTCCGACGCCTCTGTCTCTGGGCTCACTTCTTCTGGTCCGGGAGTAGGTGCCGGTTCATGTAATTGCTACGCCACGTGTTCCTTTCCTTTGCTACTGGAGATCAATTTGTCCTCCCTTATCTGCTTGATTCGTTCAGGCATTGGAAATTGCAACAATTGATGATACATTGAGGGCACGGCTTTCATCTCGTGTAACCATGACCTTCCCAGGATGATATTATATCCCATATCACCATCTACTACTTCGAAAAGGGTTATTTTCATTACTCCTTCGGCATTCATGAGCAATAAAATCTATCCCCCGGGTCATCACGCCCGCGAGGTTGAATCCGCCTAGTAGCTTTGTGGCCGGAATAATGCTTCCGATGAGTTTAGCTTGCTCAAATACTCTCCGTTATATGATATTAGCCAAACTCCCTTGATCCACTAGAACAC